TTAATTGTCTTCAAGTTAATCTTTTGCATCGTGTTGTCCTTTTTTGGTTTCAAACGTATTAGTTTTGAATTTATCAATGAGACATTTGAGCCTGCGTCATAAATAGCAGATACTTCTAAGATGTTGTTTAGTTTTACCTTGAGACTAATTAATGGTGGAACTATTAGTTTTTTGGATCATTATTATTCACTTCTACCTCTAATATAGAATTGTTTACGTGTTTTGTTTTTTCTTCATCGTTTTTTCTATCTTTGAACCAGCATTCGGTTTCAGGATGAAATCTAATACCTTTGTTTTTATTTTTGCAGAGTTTACAAGGTATCTTTTCGCTTTTGTCTTTGTTATTGACTTTATATTTTTTTGTTTCTAAATTTTTCTTAGAAGCTAAATGTTCCAATTCACCTATTTCATTATGTAGGTCTTCAGTTTTCTTTAGTTTCTCTCTGTCAATTCTATCATCTACGAAATTTGGCAAGCCAATAGCGATTAAGGGGTCTATTTTGTAATTTATCGCTCCGGAACGATCTCGTTCCCAAACGATAATCGTTAGAAGCAATCGTAAAATCAGTTTAGCGAGATTGTACAAATTTCCAATTTTATAAACACTATCGTAATCGTAAAGCTTTGAAATCGTTAGCGGAACGATGAATCTAATGTTTTTAAAATGGGTAGTATTTAAATTTGTGTAGCGTCTAGATTACGTTGATCTCTGTTGTGACATGTGACATTTGTTTTGCTACTGATTGAAGTTTGGACAAATTTGTGAACTTATAACATGTAAGTAAACAATAATTATAAAAGAAAAACATCAAAATAATCACACTAACACTAAATTCAGTTTACAATACGTTCATGGCAGCAATGGAAAAACGTAAAAGGGCCCAGCGTATTACCCAACAGCAACATGAGTTGTATGTGGAGGAGTTAGAAGGTAATGTAGATTTTAGGGCCCAAAAGTTCGTAGCGGACAAGCCAGATCTTTTAGAAAAGATATGGGAAGGGTTGGTAGCAAAACTAAATTCTGTGGGAGGACCACAAAAAAGTGTTCAGCAGTTCAGAGAGGTATGTGTAATTAATTAATCGCCCGAACACTCTTTTTAAAAATGTGTACTTCACTATAATTTATCGTACAACTATTAGCAATTATTCTGCTTACATCAACACTTTGTTTAAGACAAAGTGAACATCTTGTTTAGTCATGACCAATCAATTATGAGAACTGAGATGTTTAATCTTTATAAATACTGTTACACAATAAACCATAACCTCTGTGTTTTTTAGTACACCAAGAATATAACATAGGGCACTCTAATTACAATGTACTGCCTGGTAAGTAAACGTCACTGTGTGTTCCCGAGATTTGTAGATTGGAAATTCAATGTTTGAAAGAAGGCCAGAAATTTAAGACTATATGAAAGAGGAACTGTTTAATAATTTCATTATGTTGTAAAAAAAATAATAAATACATTAGTGAAAATGCTGTATTATTAAATTATTTCTTGTGATATGCCATTCATGTAGTAAATTGTGTTCTTCATATTCAAGTTCTTCATTATTATCGTTCTCCTTGTCATAGACAATATTGATCTCGTCATTTTCGATATTTCTTATGCGTAAGATGTTGTGTGAAATAGCACATGAGTATATAATTTTTCCTGCAACTTCTGGTGAATAATACAGAACTCTGCGGCAGTATTTCTGGAAATGTATCTCTCGTCGCTTCCCATTACAGTTGGTAGGTCTTCCTAAAGGTTTCTTCTCGAACGATCAAGGGGTCGTTTACATCTCTTAAGACCCGAGACAAATTTCTCATTCTGTCTCTGCAGTAAAAAAAATATATAATAAGTTATCAACCTAGTCCAAACATACATTAATTACTTACATTTACCTTCTCTACCCATATTTGCACCAAAACGTTCCTCTTCATTGTATAAATACTTTTCTAACGTGTTCTGACACTTCTAACGGTGAGCTGAAACCTATCGTTCCGGAACGATGACATTCTAACGATACGATCGCTATGTAACGAGACGATAGATGTTACAAAATCGCTATCATACCCAAAATCGTTATGGGAACGATTATCGTAAGTTAACGATGCTCTAGCGAGATCGTTAAGAGTTACAAAATAGACCTCTTAATCTATCAGTGTTCCATCATCAATGGGCTTTCTTACTTCTAATAAAAGTTTTTCTTTTTTTAGTACGTAATCAAGCATGGAGCCGGTTTGATATTTAAATGACATTGCATATCTTATTGGTTGGTCTTCTTTCACTAGAAAATGTATCATAAAAGTTTTTTTCCAATTTTCCAATCTTCCCATTACTTATCTATTCGCGTTTGAATTTTTTTCATACAATTTTTCAATATCATAATTATTCATCGCATTCAGAGATCTAACTTACCGACCTAATTGCGCGTTAGCTTCAATAAGAGTGAGAATAATTAATCCTTACCATAAATACAAAATTTGACAACAATCGGCCCACTACTTTCGGAGATTATCTGTTTAATAAAAATCCGGGACGGCAGACAGACGAACAGACAGACGGAAGGAAAAAATATTTAATATTTAAATAGGATTTAAAACAACAACATTTTGAGACGATCACTCAGTTGTTTCAAAGACGCACCGAACCGGGGGACCTATTTTTCATATTTTAAAAGCTACGAGACGTCTAGAAAACATGAAATCAAACCGAAGTATTCAAATTTAATAACAACGTTCATAATTTTTTTACAGTTGTAAGTTTACATTTCCTACTTGCTTTTCGTTGTTTTCTTAACAGAAACATAATTTTCTAAGTAAAATTTAGTAAAGAAACAAATCAGTATCACCATATTGGTAACGGCAACACACAAAAATTTCTTGGAGTATGTACATTCTGGATTGAAGAGTGCAGACGTAACACTACATAAGATAAACCAGTGTTGGATCTAGAAACAAACACAGTAGACAGAAAATTACAAAATAACAAAATTATTTCTTACAAGTTGCAGTATAGTGACGTATTTCTTCCACGTAACAGACACTTGATTACTGCCTTTCAAGGACGTTAGAAAATAGTAACCATACATAACAGCGTGAACCAAAGTATTCCAAAAACCTACTAACAACGCGTAACCACCAGGATAGCAGACACCAGAGTACCATGCAACAGCGAACGTCGAAATATGGTGGTACACATGCAAAGGGCTAATTTGGTGACTTCTTTTACGAAGAATCATGAACAACTAAAACAAAATTTAAATTTTGTGACGCTATAAACTCGCCATGAGCTTACCGTGTCTGCAAAATCTAGTATTTTTAAAAGAAAGTAGTAGTAGTGTGCTTTTAAGGTATTATTAACGTGAATATCGTTGCGTTGAAGTGGTGGAATGCAAGTCAATTTTTGAATTTGCGGGAGAAATTCCAGTAACTATAACATAAAAAACAAAAATTGAATACGTGTATAATTAGTGAATTTCGATCTTACTTTAAAAAGCAGTGCAACGTTTAGAATTATTTGAAAAAGATTGTACATCCAAAGCACTTGCTTAAGGCTATGGGCGGTCCTATTTTTCATAAACGAAGGTCCTAACAGGACTGCCAAAACGTATGTTAAGAGGGCCATCACGCAGAACTGGGGTGAGTGCATCAGGGTTTTACCATCGATAAAAGGTTCTAAGGGTCGTGTTTACAAGTTATACGAAATAAGCAGAATATTTTTTAACTCACCAAATGCGGCCATTTCAGTAATAGTTACTCGCAGTGTTTGCGCGAAGTCTATTGTCGAAATTACCAGTTATGATAATATGGCAACGAATTCTAATCAACAACTTTCAAGGTTCTTCAATGTTAGTGAAATAAAAGATAAAAAAGGGTGAAGGTCTATAAAAGACATTTACGAGGGTTTCGGAAGTCCAAAAAAAAAATTATAAAAAAAATCTTTATGATGTAGATAACGAAAAACACATGATTTTATAAAAGTAAAATTGGCAAGACTGCACGCAGCTAATGCGTGAATACCTCCGGCGTAAGTTCTGATTTCTTAGTAACAATGGTGACTGAAATCCACTTTTTATTTTTTTTGGAACAATAACTGTAACAACCAGTAGTCATTAATCGTTGTGCATTATTATTATTATTATTAATAAAACAAGCTGTTATTTTTCATTAATAAATAAACCAAAAAAAAAAACATTTAATACGAGATTTATAAATTATAAACAACAACAAAACCAACAAAAGAAAAATACATTAAAGCATAACCAACTAAACACTAGAGACGATATTCAAAACTGCTCCCTTGTGCATATAAGTAAGCTCATAATGTTTCCAAATTTTGGTCATTTTTTGGAAAAGTTAGTCATCAGTACTTGCTAAGATAAAACTGATTTTCCAAACAGGAATAAAAGCCAAATATTTTCGTTAATTATAACGGGAGTATTATTTCTATCGCGGCCGTTCACGAGACCACTGGAGATCCGTTACTACGGCTAGAGTAACCCCGTTGCTCCCCCTCCGGAGCAACAATTCAAGAAAAAGTTAAAGAATCCTACGAATTAATAGAAGAAAGTGGTTGGAAAGTCTTGGATGGGGATGGAGAAGGCAGATGAGGAGAGAAAATGGAAGAATTAAAAACAATAACTGAAAGAGCAGGTCTAAGATAAGAAATTGTAATGAAGAATTGAGAAAAGAAAAAGAATTGGTGCCGGTTATTAGTTATACGATACCACAAAAACGCTTGTCCACGTAATAATTCAGGTAATGCTCTTACCAGGTGGTGGTTTCGAAGTGCGAAAATTTTGAAAAATTTGTATCATCTTCGAAAATTAGGTACCTAAAGGGATTGTTTTCAGATTTCGACATCCAGTAGCGGAGAGAGAGAAACGTAAACATGCGTCGTTATTTTTGGTACCAAAGAAGATCTCAAAACAAATAATGATCAATTGAAATCGGATAACATTACTCCTCCAAAAATTCTCCTCGGCGTTGAATTAACTTAGACTGTTTATGTTTATACTTCGACCGAATTCGACTGCTAGCACAAACATTAGCGATTAAAAGAAAATGAAATTTGGTTGATTTTGTGTACTCAGCGCAGAGGAAAGGACAAAAAGGACGAAAAGGACGAAAAAGGACGAAAAGACCGAGAAAGGACGCAAAGGACGAAAAGGAGGAAAAGGACGAGAAAGGACGAAAAAGACGAAAAAGGATAATAAAAACGACAAAGGACGAAAAGGACGAAAAGGACGAAAAAAGACGAAAATTGACGAAGAGGACGAAAAACGACGAATAGGATGGAAGAGGATAATAAGGACGAAAAGGACGAAAAAGGATGATAAGAACGAAAAGGACGTAAAAGGACGAAAATGGACGAAAAGGAGGAAAAGGACGAAAAAGGACGTAAAGGGCGAAAAGGACGAAAAGGACAAAAAAAGATGAAAAAGGACGAAAAGGACGGAGATGATGAAAAAGGACGAAAATGAACATCGGGGATGAAAAGGACGAAAGAGGACGAAATAAACGAAAAACGTTAATAGGGACGAAAAAGGACGAAAAAAGATGAAAAAGGACAAAAAGGACGAAAACGGACGAACATAACGAAAAACGACGAGAAGGACGAACAAGGACGAAATAGGATAATAAGGACGAAACAGGACGAAAAGGGCGAAAATGGACGAAAAGGAGGAAAAGGACGAAAAAGGAGGAAAAGGCCGAACAAGGAGGAAAAGGCCGAAAAAGGAGGAAAAGGACGAAAAAGGATGGATAATAAGGACGAAACAGGACGAAAAGGGCGAAAAGGATCAAAATGGACGAAAAGAGGAAAAGGACGAAAAAGGAGGAAAAAGCCTTTCTTTTCTTTTATTTAGTTATTTGTATATTTATTATTATGTATTTTTTATATTTTGTTCTGTAATTAGGGAAACCTGTGGGACAATAAACTTATTATTATTATTATTATTATTATTAAAAGCCGAAAAGGGAGGAAAAGGCCGAAAAAGGAGGAAAAGGACGAAAAAGGATAGATAATAAGGACGAAAAAGGACGCAAAGGACGAACAAGGACGAACAAGGACGAAAAGGATAAAAAAGGATAATAAGGACGAAAAAAGACGAAAAGGACGAAAAAGCACGAAAAGGTCGAAAAAGGACGAAAAGGACGAAAAAGGATATCAAGGACGAAGAAGGACGAAAAAGATGAAAGAGGATGAAAAAAGACGAAAAGGACGAAATAGGACGAAAAGGACGAAAAAGGATGGCAAGGTCAAAAACGACGTAAAAGGATGAAAATGGACGAAAAGGAGGAAAAGGACGGAAATCATGAAAAAGGACGAAAATGGACGACAAGGATGAAAAGGACGAAAAAGGATGGAAAGGACGAAAAACGACGAAAAGGACGAAAAAGGACGAAAAGGGCGAAAAAGGATAATAGGGACGGAACAGAACGAAAAGGACAAAAAAGGATGGCAAGGACGAAAATGACGTAAAAGGATGAAAATAGACGAAAAGGACGAAAAAGGCTAATAAGGACGAAAAAGGATGAGAATGACGAAGAAGGACGGAAAGGACGAAAAGGACGAAGAAGGACGGAAAGGACGAAAAGGACGGAAAAGGATAATAAGGACGAAAAGGGACGAAAAAGGACGATAAGGACGAAAAAGGACGAAAAAGGATAATAATAATTTTTTTTTAAATAAATAAAAAATAAAAAACAAAGGATAATAAGGACGAAGAAGGACGAAAAAGGACGAAAAGCACGAAAAGAACGAAAAAGGATGAAAAAGGACAAAAGGACGAAAAAGGGCAAAGATGACGAAAAAGGACGAAAATGAACGGACAGGACGAAAAAGGACGAAAAAGGACGCACAGGACGAAAAAGGATGACAAGGACGAAAAAGACGTAGAAGGATGAAGATGGACGAAAAGGAGGAAAATAATAATAATAATTCCTGATAATAAAGCCCATCAATTTCCTAGCTTTTGAAACAATGCAATCTACGTGGTCTTTAAAGTTGAATTGACAATCATATATCACCCCGAGGTCTTTCACAGTAGTGAATCGCTGAACAGCAGTGCCATCAATATTATAATCGTAAACAAACTTTTTAGCACAGAGCATAAAAGTCATTGCTACACATTTATCTCTATTTAGCGGAATTCCATTAAGCTTAGACCAGAATTGCAGCTTGTTCATATCGCTCTGAATTTTAACACAGTCATTCACATCAACTATTGTACGAAAAATTTTAACATCGTCCGCAAATATGAGTACTTTAGAATTTTCAATGACATCAACTAAATCATTAATATATATTAAAAACAATAGAGGCCCAAGAATGGATCCTTGTGGAACACCAGACGTAGCAATATAGCAACTAGACTTGAAACCATTGTCGTGAACAAAGTTCCTACGAGAGGATAAATAAGATGCAAAAAACTCAAGCAGCCTCTGCGAGAAACCAAAATTCGATAGTTTTTCCAGCAAGGTCCTATGTTTAAGTTTGTCCAAGGCCTTTGACATATCCAAATATATAACATCTAATTGACCCATATTGTCGAGCACGTCCGCAATATATTGAGACATACATACTAGATTCGTTAGAGTAGATCTACCAGAGGTAAAACCATGTTGATAAATCGAGATATGCTCCTTTATATCAAAATAAATTTGGTTATAAATGACTCTTTCGAAGATTTTAGAAAAGTTAGACAATATCGAAACTACTAACATGAGAGTGATCCCCAGATTTAAACACAGGCACCACCTTAGCGACCTTCCATATGCCTGGGAAGCAAGAGTTATTAATGGACAAATTAAAAATGTAGCATAAAGGCTTGACAAACGGATCGACGCAATCTCTAATAAGAAAACTGGGAACCTGATCTTCACCAGAGACACAATTATTTTTAAGTTGTGAAATAGCCTAACGGACTGCATCCTCACGTATCGTAACATCAATACATAGATTAAGTGAACTGGAACAGGATTTAACATTAGATGACGGAAGCAAATTAGAAGAGCTAAAGCAGGAACAAAACTCACGGGCAAATACATCAACAATGTCATGCGGGTCACTGTAAGTGTTGTCTCCAAACTGAACACAATTGGGTAAGGTTGATTGCCCCTTCTTCTGATTAATAAACGACCAAAAACTCTTTGGATCTTTCTTAAGGGATCGCTCAGCTCTGGTGATATAATCTTGAAACTCTCTAGAAATGGTTCTCTTAATCCTTTGCCTAGCGTTCGCAAACAGGTAATAAAATTCAGGGGTGGGATTACGTTTCCACCTTTGATGAAATTTTTCTTTTAACTTCATTAAATCCCTAAGCTCTTTGGAGTACCAAGAAGGAAAGGAACGCTTTTTACATTTAAACAATGGAACGTGCTTATCAAATACCTCATACAAATTCTTATAAAAAAAATCACAAGCTTGATTAACCTCAGTTATTTGGAATAGAAATTTCCAATCTAATTTCAGAATGTCATTATATAGCATAGGAAAGTTAGCTCGCTTAAAGTTATACAATTTCGATGTAGCACATAAGGGAAAATTTACATACGAGAGATTTGTAACTGCCCAGTAAACACAGTTGTGCTGTTGACGTGTCGGGTGCGTACTCACAAAAGAACAATAAGTACATCGCATGATTATGTCTTAACGATATACCTGGAACGTAAGCTATATAACAGCACAATGGAGTACTCATGCTATGTAACAAACACGTAATGTTGACTACATTTACTAAATATCTCATTATTATGTCGCAGCGATATAACTTGCATATAAGCATTTAAACATCACACTGTGGTACTCCTGTTATGTAACTAACACCTAATGTTAACTGGATTTACTAGATATCTCATTATTGTGTCGCAGCGATAAAGTTGGCAGGTAAGCCTTGTAACATCACAATGGAGTACTACGGTTATGTAACCAATAAGTAATGTTAACTGTAGTTACTAGATATCTGATTAATATATATATATATATATATATATATATTGATCCTGTTAAGTTGTTACCTCCGGCAAATGGAACAGACGGCCTGACCTCCGGGTTACCCCCTTCGTCTATCGTCATATATGCGATATATTTGGAATGAGGGGAACCTCTACTATTCGAATCTCAAAAGAGGGGAAACTATTTCTAGTATTTTAAAAGGCCATATATAAGATATACATAAGATATACAAAAGAGGCGTTCTTACCTCCATATACGTATATGAGTGGGTACTCGTAGTTTGTTGTTACCTCCAACAGTGTTGTCAAGTTTATACACAATCTATCTTCTTTTACGTATATAGCTATTTCACACCAAATTAGATATCTTGATTTCGTACGATCATTCAAAGAAAGTGTTTAATTATATTACTAAATTTTTTGGAAATGTTTGGTAAAAATTGCAAAATGGCTCGAAGGTTATTTCAAGAGAACTTTTCTGAAGTACAATACAACTCCAGCTTTTTTGAAAATTATTTGATTTTGCGAATTTTACTTTTTACTTTCCAAATGTAAGGAAGTATTGTAAACGGGTCCGTCGGCTGAGTCTCTACTTTTACGTTTTCTCGACCTTTTATGACCCATAGAGTACGAAAAAATGGATCTCTCGTTTCCGTGTGTGTGTCTGTCCGCCGTCCGTAACGATTTTTGTTAGACAGATAATCCCCGAAACTACTGGACCAATTTTTGTCAAATTTTATATGTAAGTATATTACGAATATCATGTTAATGGTAAAACGCTAACCGAACTTTGTCAAGTCATCCCCACCAACAATGTGATGATGACACCTCAAAATTGTACATAGTAAATAGGTTTTACACTGTGTAAAATATTTATGAATTCATGTTGAGTATTTACCCGAAACGACCAGATTTTTGGAAGAAAAATCAAAATTATATAACAATTGTGTGTTGCAAGTTAAAAGTTACGTTGCAAAATATAATTTTTTTTTTTCCAAAAATCTCGATGTCCAGTGTGAAAACGCAGTACGGATTCATACACCACAAGTGCAGGAATATCGTATTTCATAAAATAGAAAAAAATACTATTGTAAATTTTGGAATGTCAATCATCCCATTGGTGGTGGGCATGATTAATCAACTTTTGGTCAGCGTTTTGCCATATACACGATATTCTTAACATAAGTATAAAATTTAATAACAATATCAGTCTAATAAAAATTGACACAGACGATGGAGAGTCAGGCGTCAGAGAGACGGAACCGGGAGACCAAATTTTTCGTACTCTAGGCTCCATGAAACGTCAAGAAAACATGCAAGTAGCAAGTCGCGTAATAAACTCAATTACTACACTTGTGACTGTACTATAAGTGAAAGTAATTCGAAGTCCCGGAATTTAAGACTAGACTTTTCAAACAGCATGCTACTGTTCCTAAAAGCTAACATTCCATCATTTGCAGGCTATAAACGAACCTGAATTCTAATTCTAAAGCGATTTTGACACGTTTCGAACGCTATTACTGACAAAAACGTCTTATAATTTTTACTTCCCGAGCGTAAGAGAAGGAAGTATTGTAATCGAGTCCGTCGACCGACTCTCTACTTTTACGTTTTTTCGAACTTTCATGACCCCTACAGTACGAAGAAATAGGTCTCCTGTTTCCGTCTGTCCATTTGGCTGCCGTTCCAAATTTTTATTAGACAGATAATCTCCGAAAGTACTGGGACAATTGTCGTCAAATTTTGTATTTATATTAGGAACGTCATGTATATGGTAAAACGCTAACCGAAATTTGCCTAATCATCTTCGCCAATAACCTGATGATATCATTTCACAATTGTAAATAGTAAATGGGTTTTAAATTGTATAAAATAACATAGTCCTACACATGTAGTTTATGAAGCCGTGTTGAGTTTTTATCGAAACGTCCAGATTTTTGGGAAAAGAATCAAAATTATAAAGCAACATTTTGCAATTTAATTTTGAATCTGCAAACCGGAATGCTTTGAAATCTTGCAGACGTTATAAAGTTATGATAAATCATGATAAATTTTTAATCAAAATTATTTACTTATCCCCTCCAAAAGATTGATGACGTCAGCTCAAAATGTTGCCGAATAAATCCTTTCGGAAAAGTCCAAAATATGATGAGTCTATATTTGGTAACAACAGTTGCTCCAAAAACACGTAATATACCTGAATACATGTGATATTTATGTAAATTTCTGTACAAATCCTATCCTTCCTCTTATCCTATCTTTCGTCTACCTGCCCTATGGTCCAACTTTCTCTTCCAGTTTCTAGAATTTTCTAAACGCTTTCTTTAAGTTCTTCCACCTCTCCAAAACCGAACCTACGTGTCGACAATTTTTAAACACCATTCCTTTTTCTTCCTCGAGCTCTTAACCCGTAAGCACTAATAAAAATCTGAAAACCGTAACCGTCGCTATTTCTTATTAAAATCCCCACCGATACCCACAATTCCATTCATATTTTTTGGACTTACTTATACAAGTGACTCAAAAAAATTATTGATTAAATCAAAAATTGCAAAACTCAATACTTTGAAATCTTGAAGACGTTTTGATGTTATGAAAGAATGGTAAATTATTTATCAAAATATATCTTTTCATCAACTCCAAAAAATTTATGACGTCATCTCAAAATTTTGCAGAATAAATCCTATCTAAATTGTCCAAAATATGATCAATCGATAATTGCAATTTATCACTGCATTCATATTTTTTAGCTTTGCTTATAGAGGATGACTCCAAAAAATTAATGAATCAGTCAATTTATTTTATTGAATAACTCAAGAATAGCAAAACTGAATATTTTGAAATCTTGCAGCCGTTTTCAAGTTATTGAAGCATGGTAAATTGTTGATCAAAATATATCTGTTTAGGTCCCCCAAAAAACTGATGACGACATCTCAAAATTTTGTAGAATAAATTCCACTCAAAATGTGCAAATGTGTTCTTATTTGTGGTCAATCATTGCAGTCATATTTTTTAGATTTTCTAAAACAGGGGACTCAAAAAATTAATGAATGGGTCAATTTATTTTATTGATTAAATTAGGAACGCCTCACTCCATTTTCCCAGAAAATTTTGGGAATACAATACTGTTATTTTTAGTATCATACTGCATCAATCCAAGTTGATATACGTGTATTTGCAAAAATGTTGATGACGTCATCATAAAACGTTGCTTTTAGCAACAGTAGTAACTTAAATTCGAATTTGAAGACGATTTTGAGACGATTCAAACACCATTTGTGATAGAATGTTTAATGAAACACAGGTTTAACACATAGAACTTTTATAAACAACTAATGACGTAAGTCAAAGAATTCGAGGATACCGAAATTTTAAATACAATAATCAGGGCTATTTGAGGAAATCGAGCTTGGAATGTCCTACATAAAAAAGAAGGGCTCGGACTGTGTCCAGAATGGAGGGCCAGATCTCGAAAATCTTGTGTTGTTACTATAAACTAGCATCAAATCGGCTCTTTTCAGAACCAACAGTAATTTCGACAAATAAAGTAACAGTAAATTGGTACTGGTCAACAAAAAGAAAAATATCGAAATTAAAAACTAATCTATTTCAAGGTCAGCGATATCGTTCTTAAATAAAAATGAATTAAATAATTTCTTCACTTTGATCGTAAGGAAAATAAATAATAATTTGAATACGAAACAATAATTGATCATCGAGTTTTGTGTATCGACTTTCGCACTCAGTTATAGGTATATCTGTTTAACATTAAATTTTCAAAAGTTTAGATTTTTCCAATGTAATCTTGGGCTCTAAAATAAACTGGTAATGTATAATATATAATTATAATTGAGTATTTTCGTGGTTGATCTTTAAATTATTATTTATTCAAAAAATTCACTTAATTTCATATCCAATATGTAACTAACTGAAAACTGATAATAAAGCAGCAGATATGACGAAATAGTGTAGACTTTTTTTAATGTCGGTAATAGAGTGTATGTATAATTAGAGTATAACTAGAGAGCGAAAAATATGCAGCAAAATTTTGGGAAATATGATCATATGACATGCATCAAATTTATGCAAATATGCAATAACTTTCTTAATATATGCAGAGATATGCAGTTGCATATGCTCCAAAAATAAAAAAAGCGTAATAACCGAACCAAATTTATTTACAAATTGCAAAAACACCTTACCTTTTATTGCAAAAAATACATAAATCACATTGCAAAGTGTTTAATTAGATCTCACTGACAAATAAATGACATTTTTTAAGATAATATTCTTATACTCAAAAATAAATATAGGTAAACACAACGAATTAAAAAATAGTAGTAATCGACTATTTAATTACTATTTTGGTAACAATTTATTTTTAAATATTTTTCGAAATATTCTAACAAAAATTTTTCCGGTGATTCTAAAGTATGTATTTGTAAATAGAAAAACTGGGTACTGCGTCCACAGATGTAAAAATACTTATCGGATTAGAGCAGGCACAACAAAACACAGTTCATTCTTGAAGAATAAGTTCAGGAAAAGGTTTAATTCATAAATTAATTTGAGTTATCTACATATTGACACACATCTCTATCGCTTTAAATACTTGAATGCAAACTCACAATGAAAAATAATAGGATAACGTCCCTCGACCACCATAAAACATACCATTAATACAACGAACAAAAATATTGAAATGAACGGTATTTCCAAAAGTAATTAGGACCTGAATTTACCTGGAAGGATGGCTTAACACCCAGTGGTTCCTCCAAACTACCATTAAACCCAAACCTTTCCCAGTTATTTGAAGCTCAGGACAATATTTGCAATATGATTCATGAAATTTCGTCTTTCTAGAAAAATCCCGATCGAATGGCATTTTTTTTTCAAAGTAGCACAAAAATTGATAAAAATGCAAAATATGCACCCGTTACGTGAAATATGCAGCAGAAGGCAAATATATGCAAATATGCAATTTTTTTATAGCTGTATTCATTTTTAATTAGCATGATTCGTTCACATATTAAATATCAAGACTTATATGCAAAAAATAACGATATGCAAAATTTCATAAAATCCTCTCTCTAGCCATTAGTATTTTTTTGTTTTTCAATTTTTTCTTCTAAGTCTTCATCATTAACTTGTAAATTGTTACCTTCATCCAAATATGCTGCTCATAAATCATTGTTGAGAGGAAACCAAATATTCCTTAGTTGGCCTATTTGAGTCAATGACTTTTTTATCTTAGCAATCACCAGTCTTTGAAAGCGCCTCATGAGTGCGTGCATCCAAATAGTTATCTGGAACGATGAATGTCTGGTCATCCGGTGTGCCAATTGAGGATATGCACAGCACATTAGTTTTATTATCTGGGGTACTTTGAAAGTGAAAAGCAGCTTTTCCATTGTGAGTTCCAACGAGAATGTTGTTTTGTAATGTGAGGTTATTTCCGTTTTTTCTTCTTATCTTTAAAAGGGAATAAAACTTGAATTGTTTGTCTGTAAACAACAAAGTTTTTATTAAAGTACTTGATCTAATTACTAATCCTACCTGTAAACAACAAAGAAACAACATTCAATGTTATTATTCACAATCTTTTACATTATTACATGAAATCTGACTTGCAGAGATGTAACTTACCGACCTAATTGCGCGTTAAATTCAATAAGAGTGAGGATAATTAATCCTTATCATAAATACAAAATTTGACAACAATCGGCCCACTACTTTCGGAGATTATCTGTCTAATAAAAATCCGGGACGGCAGACAGACGAACAGACAGACGGAAGGAAAAAATATTTAAAATTTAACTAGGATTTAAAACAACAACATTTTGAGACGATCACTCAGTTGTTTCAAAGACGCACCGAAACGGGAGACCTATTTTTCATATTTTAAAAGCTACGAGACGTCTAGAAAACATGAAATCAAACCAAAGTATTCAAATTTAATAACAACGTTCATAATTTTTTTACAGTTGTAAATTTACATTTCCTACTTGCTTTTCGCTGTTTTCTTAACAGAAACATAATTTTCTAAGTAAAATTTAGTAAAGAAACAAATCAGTATCACCAAATTGGTAACGGCAACACACAAAAATTTCTTGGAGTATGTACATTCAGGATTGAAGAGTGCAGATGTAACACTACATAAGATAAACCAGTGTTGGATCTAGAAACATACACAGTAGACAGAAAATTACAAAATATCAAAACTATTGCTTACAAGTTGCAGTATAGTGACGTATTTCTTCCACGTAACAGACACTTGATTACTGCCTTTCAAGGACGTTAGAAAATAATAACCATACATAACAGCGTGAACCAAAGTATTCCAAAAACCTACTAACAACGCGTAACCACCGGGGTAACAGACACCACAGTACCATGCAACAGCGAACGTCGAAATATGGTGGTAAACATGCAAAGGGCTAATTTGGTGACTTCTCTTACGAAGAATCATGAACAACTAAAACAAAATTTAAATTTTGTGACGCTATAAACTCACCATGAGCTTACCGTGTCTGCAAAATCTAGTATTTTTAAAAGAAAATAGTAGTAGTGTGCCTTTAAGGTATTATTAACGTAAATATCGTTACGTTGAAGTGGTGGAATGCAAGTCAATTTTTTAATTTGGGGGAGAAATTCCAGTAACTATAACATAAAAAAAAAATTGAAGACGTGTATAATTAGTGAATTTCGAGCTCACTTTAAAAAGCAGTGCAACGTTTAGAATTATTTGCAAAAGATTGTACATCCAAAGCACTTGCTTAAGGTTATGGGCGGTCCGATTTTTCATAAACGAAGGTCCTAACAGGACCGCCAAAACGTATGTTAAGAGGGCCATCACGCAGAACTGGGGCGAGTGCATCAGGGTTGCACCATCGATAAAAGGTTCTAAGGGTCGTGTTTACAAGTTATACAAAATAAGCAGAATATTTTTTAACTCACCAAATGCGGCCATTTCAGTAGTGGTATCGACCTTACTCGCAGTGTTCGCGCGAAGTCCATTGTAGAAATTATCAGTTATGATAATATGGCAACGAATTCTAATCAACAAGTTTAATTTTTTTTTCCAACCATAATAAAACTCACTGATATGCGAGTCGTTATAAACATTTAAAAGGTTCTTTAATGTTAGTGAAATAAAAGTCTTTCCATGTGAAGGTCTATAAAGGACATTTACGTGGGTTTCGGGAGTCCCAAAACATAATAAAAAAAATCTTTATGATGTAGATAACGAAAAACACATGATTTTATAAAAGTAAAATTGGCAAGACTGTACGCGGCTAATGCGTGAATACCTCCGGCCTAAGTTCTGATTTCTTAGTACCAATGGTGACTGAAATCCACCTTTTATTTTTTTTAGGGAATAACTGTAACAACCAGTAGTCATTAATCGTTGTGCATTGTTATTATTATTAATAAAACAAGCTGTTATTTTTCATTAATAAATAAACCAAAAAAACATTTAATAAGACATTTATAAATTATAAACAACAACAAAACCAACAAAAGAAAAACTAAGCTCGTAATGTTTCCAAATTTTGGTCATTTTTTGGAAAAGTTAGTCATCAGTACTGGCTAAGATAAAATTGATTTTCCAAACAGGAATAAAAGCCAAATATTTTCCTTAATTTTTACTGGAGGTCCGTTACTACGGCTAGAGTAACCCCGTTGCTCCCCCTCCGGAGCAACAATTCAAGAAAAAATTAAAGAATCCTACGAATTAATAGAAGAAAGCGGTTGAGAAGTCTTGAATGGAGTGAAAGATGGGGATGGAGAACGCAGATGAGAGGAAAATGGAACAATTAAAAACAATAACTGAAAGAGCAGGTCTAAGATAAGAAATTGTAACGAAGAATTGGTGCAGGTTATTAGTTATACGATACCACAAAAACGCTTGTCCACGTAATAATTCAGGTAATGCGCTTACCAGGTGGTGGTTTCGAAGTGCGAAAATTTTGAAAAATTTGTATCATCTTCGAAAATTAGGTACCTAAAGGGATTGTCTTCAGATTTCGACATCCAGTAGCGGAGAGAGAGAAACGTAAACATGCGTCGTTATTTTTGGTATCAAAGAAGATCTCAAAACAAATAATGATCAATTGAAATCGGATAACATTACTCCTCCAAAAATTCTCCTCGGCGTTGAATTAACTTCGACTGTTTATGTTTATACTTCGACCGAATTCGACTGCTAGCACAAACATTAGCGATTAAAAGAAAATGAAATTTGGTTGATTTTGTGTACTCAGCGCAGAGGAAAGGACAAAAAGGACGAACAGGACGAAAAAGGACGAAAAGACCGAGAAAGGACGAAAAGGACGAAAAAGACGAAAAAGGATAAAAAGAACGAAAAAGGACGCAAAGGACGAAGAGTATGAAAAAGGACGAAAATGGACGACAAGGATGAATAGGACGAAAAAGGACGAAAAAGACGGAAAGGACGAAAAAGGATAATAAGGACGACAAAGGACGGAAAAGGACGAAAATTGACGAAGAGGACGAAAAACGACGAATAGGACGGAAGAGGATAATAAGCACGAAAAGGACGAAAAAGGATGACAAGAACGAAAAGGACGTAAAAGGACGAAAATGGATGAAAAGGAGGAAAAGGACGAAAAAGGACGGAGAGGATGAAAAAGGACGAAAATGGACATCGGGGATGAAACGGACGAAAAAGGACGAAAAAGGACGAACAGGACGAAAAACGACGAACAGGACGAAAAACGACGAACAGTACGAAAAAGGACGAAATAGGATAATAAGGACGAAACAGGACGAAAAGGTCGAAAATGGACGAAAAGGAGGAAAAGGACGAAAAAGGACGCAAAGGACGAAAAACGACGAAAAGGAAAAAAAACGACGAAAAGGACGGATAGGACGAAAAAGGACGAAAAGGACGAAAAGGGACGAAAAGGACGGAAAAGGACGAAAAGGACGAAAAAGGATGGCAAGGTTGAAAAGCACGTAAAAGGATGAAAATGGACGAAATGGAGGAAAAGGACGAAAAAGGACGAAAAGCAGGAAAAAGGATAATAAGGACGATATAGGACGAAAAGAACGAAAAAGAACGAAAAAGGACGAAAAGGACGAAAAGGGTAATAAGGACGAAAAAGGATAAAAAGGACGTAAAAGATTGAAAATGGACGAAAAGGACGACAAAGGATGAAAAGGACGAAGAAGGACGAAAAAGGACGGAAAGGACGAAAAGGACGAAAAAGGATAATAAGGACGAAAATAACGAAAAGGACGAAAAAGGACGAAAATAGACATCGGGGATGAAAAGGACGAAAAAGAACGAAAAGGACCAGAAAGGTTAATAAGGACGAAAAAGGTTAATAAGGACGAAAAAGGACGAAAGGGACGAAAAAGAACTAAATAGGATAATAAGTACGAAACAGGACGAAAAGGGCGAAAAAGGATGAAAATGGACGAAAAAGGAGGAAAAGGACGAAAAAGGATAGATAATAAGGACGAAAAAGGACGCAAAGGACGAACAAGGACGAACAAAGACGAAAAGAACGAAAAAGACAAAAAAGGATAATAAGGACGAAAAAAGACGAAAAGGACGAAAGAGGATATCAAGGACGAAGAAGGACGAAAAAGACGAAAGAGGATGGAAAAAGACGAAAAGGACGAAATAGGACGAAAAGGACGAAATAGGACGAAAAGGACGGAAAAGGACGAAAAGGACGAAAAACGACGAAAAACGACTAAAAACGACGAAAAGGACGAAAAAGGACGAAAAGGGCGAAAAAGGATAATAAGGACGGAACAGAACGAAAAAGACGAAATAGGATGGCAAGGACGAAAATGACGTAAAAGGATGAAAATAGACTAAAAGGACGAAAAAGGCTAATAAGGACGAAAAAGGATGAGAATGACGAAGAAGGACGAAGAAGGACGGAAAGGACGAAAAGGACGAAGAAGGAAGGAAAGGACGAAAAGGACGAAAAGGACGAAAAAGGACCAAAAGGACGAAAAAGAACGAAAAAGGACGCAAAGGACGAAGAGCATGAAAAAGGACGAAAATGGACGACAAGGATGAATAGGACGAAAAAGGACGAATAGGACGGAAGAGGATAATAAGGACGAAAAGGACGAAAAAGGATGACAAGGACGAAAAGGACATAAAAGGACGAAAATGGACGAAAAGGAGGAAAAGGACGAAAAAGGACGTAAAGGGCGAAAAGGACGAAAAGGACAAAAAAATACGAAAGAGGACGAAAAGGACGGAGATAATGAAAAAGGACGAAAATGGACATCGGGGATGAAAAGGACGAAAAAGGACGAAAAGCACGAAAAACGTTAATAAGGACGATAAAGGCCGGAAAAGGACGAAAAAGGACGAAAAGGACGAAAACGGACGAACAGGACGAAAAACGACGAAAAGGACGAAAAAAGACGAAATGGGATAATAAGGACGAAACAGAACGAAAAGGGCGAAAATGTACGAAAAGGGGGAACAGGACGAAAAAGGAGGAAAAAGCCGAACAAGGAGGAAAAGGCCGAAAAAGGAGGAAAAGGACGAAAAAGGGTGGATAATAAGGACGAAAAGGGACGCAAAGGACGAAAAACGACGAAAAGGACGAAAAAGGACGCAAAGGATGAAGAACGACGGAGAGGACGAAAAAGGACGAAAAGGACGAAAAAGGGCAAAAAGGTCGAAAAAGGACGAAAAGGACGAAAAAGGATATCAAGGACGAAGAAGGACGAAAAAGACGAAAGAGGATGAAAAAAGACGAAAAGGACGAAATAGGACGAAAAGGGCGAAATAGGACGAAAAGGACGAAAAGGACGGAAAAGGACGAAAAGGACGAAAAAGGATGGAAACGGACGAAAATGGACGACAAGGATGAAAAAGACAAAAAAGGACGGAAAGGACGAAAAACGGCGAAAAACTACGAAAAGGACGAAAAAGGACGAAATGGATGGCAAGGGCGAAAATGACGTAAAAGGATGAAAATAGACGAAAAGGACGAAAAAGGCTAATGCTAATAAGGACAAAAAAGGATGAGAATGACGAAGAAGGACGAAGAAGGACGGAAAGGACGAAAAGGACGAAGAAGGCCGGAAAGGACGACAAGGACGAAAAAGGATAATAAGGACGAAAAAGGACGAAAAGGACGAAAAAAGACGAAAAGGACGAAAAAGAACGAAAAGGACGAAAAAGGACGAAAAGGACAAAAATGAACGGACAGGACAAAAGAGGACGCACGGGACGAAAAAGGATGACAAGGACGAAAAGGACGTAGAAAGATGAAGATGGACGAAAAGGAGCAAATTAATAATAATAATAATAATAATAATATATATTTATTTGCCCAACAGAACAAAATATTCCAATTACAGGACAAAATGTTATAACAAAATTATAATATGTACTACTAAAACTATGCATATTCATAAACAACAACTAGGCACAAAAATGTAAAAACTAAAACAATTTTTAAAACAATAATAAAGAACTTATTAATAAAACAAAATTAATATACTAACCACCGGAATCTAACGCTACTAAAAATAACTTACATTATGTTGTTATTCGCTTAAAGAAAACGTGTCTAATATTTCTCGTTTAAGTTGTCTTAGGGAACAGTGAAATATGTCACACAAATTACTCATTTTTTCAAATTTATTCCAATAATAACTTACAACATATAGCGGGGCTTTGCGTCCAATATTAGTTCGTGGCGTTTTTTTGTAAATGGTAACCGAGTATCTACAATTAAATCTAGGCACGTTAATGTTTATTGTTTGCAGTAGTTCACGACAAATTATTAAATTATTAAAAATCTTGTATGCAAATTGAATGGCACAACTTATACGCCTACACTCAAGTGAACTGTAATTAAATTTGGCTAAAAGTGCAGTCTATGCTTGGTTTCTACCTGGCCATCTTTTCTCTTCTTTGAAATACAAATATTTCAAAAATTTCTGCTGAATTTTTTCTAGAGATAAGATCTGATTTTGGTAATAAGGGAACCAGGCCAAGGAGCAATATTCCAACCTAGATCTTACTAAGGCGTTAAAAAGTGCCGTAAGAGACGTAATATTAAATTCTTTACAGTTCCTGATAATAAAGCCCATCAATTTCCTGGCTTTTGAAACAATGCAATCTACGTGGTCTTTAAAGTTGAATTGACAATCATATATCACCACGGGGTCTTTCACAGTAGTGGATCGCTGAACAGCAGTGCCATCAATATTATAATCGTAAACAAACTTTTTAGCACAGAGCGTAAAAGTCATTGCTACACATTTATCTCTATTTAGCGGAATTCCATTAAGCTCAGATCAGAATTGCAGCTTGTTCATATCGCTCTGAATTTTAACACAGTCATTCACACGAAAAATTTTAACATCGTCCGCAAATATGAGTACTTTAGAATTTTCAATGGCATCAACTAAATCATTAATATATATTAAAAACAATAGAGGCCCAAGAATGGATCCTTGTGGAACCCCAGACGTAGCAATATAGCAACTAGACTTGAAACCATTGTAGTGAACAAAGTTCCTACGAGAGGATAAATAAGATGCAAAAAACTCAAGCAGCCTCTGCGAGAAACCAAAATTCGATAGTTTTTCCAGCAAGGTCCTATGTTTAAGTTTGTCAAAGGCCTTTGACATATCCAAATATATAACATCTAATTGATCCTTATTGTTGAGCACGTCCGCAATATATTGAGACATACATACTAGATTCGTTAGAGTAGAGGTAAAACCATGTTGATAAATCGAGATATGCTCCTTTATATCAAAATAAATTTGGTTATAAATGACTCTTTCGAAGATTTTAGAAATATCGAAATAGAACGGTAACTACTAACATTAGGGTGATCCCCAGATTTAAACACAGGCACCACCTTAGTGACCTTCCAAATGCCTGGGAAGCAAGAGTTATTAATGCACAAATTAAAAATGTAGCATAAAGGCTTGACAAACGGATCGACGCAATCTCTAATAAGAAAACTGGGAACCTGATCTTCACCAGAGACACAATTATTTTTAAGTTGTGAAATAGCCTTACGGATTGCATCCTCACGTATCGTATCATCAATACATAGATTAAGTGAACTGGAACAGGATTTAACATTAGATGACGGAAACAAATTAGAAGAGCTAAAGGAGGAACAAAACTCACGGGCAAATACATCAACAATGTCAAGCGGGTCACTGTAAGTGTTGTCTCCAAACTGAACACAATTGGGTAAGGATGATTGCCCCTTCTTCTGATTAATAAACGACCAAAAACTCTTTGGATCATTCTTAAGGGATCGCTGAGCTCTTGTAATATAATCTTGAAAATCTCTAGAAATGGTTCTCTTAATCCTTTGCCTAGCGTTCGCAAACAGGTAATACAATTCAGGGGTGGGATTACGTTTCCACCTTTGATGAAATTTTTCTTTTAACTTCATTAAATCCCTAAGCTCTTTGGAGTACCAAGAAGGAAAGGAACGCTTTTTACATTTAAACAATGGAACGTGCTTATCAAATACCTCATACAAATCACAAGCTTGATTAACCTCAGTTATTTGGAATAGAAATTTCCAATCTAATTTCAGAATGTCATTATATAGCATAGGAAAGTTAGCTCGCTTAAAGTTATACAATTTATGTAGCACATAGGGGAAAATTTACATACGAGAAATTTGTAACTGTGACATTAATTTTTAAAGCAGGGTGGGACTTAGCTTCACGCAGCATAGGATCGCTATCACGCACTACTGAACACTTGTTGTGGCTGCAAAAAATTAAGTCTAAAAGATGCTGATCGCAATTCAAGATACCATTGTATTGAGTAAAGTTTAAAAGTGACATCATATTAGACAAAGACACTGATTTAGAATCACGGACATCGGTCATATAATTACAAGCATTAAAATCACCAATTAATACTATAGTAGAAAGTTCAAGAGTGAAATTCTCAAAGGTTTCAATAAATCGTTCAAATCCATCAACCTTTACATCCGGGGGTACATAAACTACAAATATATACAGACTATTTTGTTCACAACAAATTTTGCAACCCACAATATCTATTAGAAAAAAGTTAGAAAATACAGACAGATATAGAATTTTCGGATTAAATATATCCTTAATGGCTATGAAAACCCCACCACCTCTACTACGCCCGGAATTTAAAAAATCTCTGTCTACTCCAAAAATTTGATAACCCGAAGGAAGAAATTCCCTATTGTTAACAGCTGGATCAAGCCAAGATTCAGTGACACAAATTAAGTCGTAATCCGAGACAGTTGAAATTGTGTAAAAAGCATTCATTTTGGACCTTAAACTACGCACATTTTGATAATAAATTGAGAGTTGAGAAATACTGTAGGGCACATTCAGTTTAAATTGGTCGAAGGAATACCAGAACTTGAACCTGAACCAGGGGGAACAACAACAATTTGAGGAACATTATTAATATATTTAATTGTCACATTACGAGCACCTTCACTTGTGCGGCGATTCAGTTCGGAGTTCAGATCTTTCAAATATTTGATTTGTTGCAAAGTTCTATCTTCACGAATAATGATATTCTTATAATTATTACTCTCTTTTAACATACCACGTTTCTTCAATACCAATCGAGCCATCTCAATAGTCTTCAATCTAAGTCTCAAGATGCGAGGTCGACCATTACTTTCGTTACCTAATCTGACGACATTGTCTGGAGCAACAGTTGCTGTTTCATCGACGACTTCTAATATGTCATTAGCCAAGTCAACGTCAGAACGGCCAGTATTTTCAGGAACATTCAAAAGAATAATGTTTTTCGCACGCAGAGAACGCTCCACAGATTCAGAAATTATTTCTTCCTTATTAGACGGTGAAATGCTGGCGGTATTAATGATTTTCTCAATGCTATCTAAACGTGTTTCTAAGGAGGATTTAATAGTTTCAATGCTGCTCATGATTTTGTTAAATGATGCCAGTTCAGCATTGCAACGGTTACATAGAATTTTCACATTAGTCGATTTCAGCTGTAAAAATAATTTAGCTTCCTCCTTTGACATATTAAGACAGGCAAAGTGTAAATGGAGACTACAATTTGCACACACAGCATAGCTTACTGAACCGATTTCCCGGAAGCAGTGGCAACAGTTGTAAGATGTTATGATGTTTGTGTAAATTAGCGAATCGTAAAGAACTAAGCGCAATGACCCCAGTGGTCACTACTGGAATGGAATTGAAATAAAAACAAAATATTTGAAACAAACCGTAGAGAGTTCCAACAGCACGCCACTGTGCTATCACTGAGTGAAGAGGTTTTTCCGGTGCGATAATGGATTTCGACAAAAACTCTGATAATCGAAATAAACTTAAATAACACGAAAACCACTAATTTCTGCACAAAACCAACAACACTGTTATAATCACAGTAAAATGACGAAGCTGTACGTATCCACAAGAAATAAAACATTACGTAATTCTGCAGACAATTAGCAAGAAGCCAAGGAACCATGTCGCGCCGGCAGAAGCAAAAAATTCAAAAAAAAGGACGAAAAAGGATAATAAGGACGAAAAAGGACGAAAAGGACGGAAAAAGATAATAAGGACGAATAATCTTATAACTTATAATAGTTGCTTGACTTCGGTTTTTATAATTTCAAAATTACTTTGTAAAATATTGTTATACAATGTTGAGTGTTTTCCAAAAATCTGGTACGTTTCACCCCAAATTTCGTTTTTTAATTTATTATAAGGTGCTTAATCATTTTTAACATGCCATTTTTGACGTTGAAGTATTTTTTTAATTATATTAAAAAAATCTCAAAGCCAGCTGTTCTATAGCCAATTCGATTAATCTTAGACCATTGTTGTTTGATTCTTCATGCTTGCTGTGTTTTCCAACTATTTCTTTATGTTTTTCTTGTCTCCCTTATTTTGCATTTGCGTCTCCCATTATAATTATGTTATCTCTTTTTGGTATTTTGTCGATAACTCTGTCCATTTCTTCAAAGAATGCATCCTCTACATCATCTTCTTTTTCTTCTGTTGGTGCATGTATATTTAGAACGAATAGATTTTGGTTTTGTCCTTTTGCCTTATCCCACAGATACTATCTGATATCTGCATAAAGTCTATTATTGTTCCTTTAAGCCTCTGCCCCACTATAAAACCTGCCCCAAACTGTCTGATTACGCCTCTACTTTTAAACAGGTTGTACTTGTCAATTTCTTGTATTCCGCTACCTGCCAGATGTGTTTCTTGTAAGGCTATTAATTCTATTTTATATCTTTTAATTTCTTTAATAAGGTTTTTGATAGCTCCGTCTTCATAAATACCTCTTACATTCCATGTTCCTACGAGTATAATATTTTGTTTTTTTTTCATTCTCCTATTATTTATTTCTCTTTTTTTCTTTTTTTTCTTGTTAGCATATTCATTGCCATATTCATTGCCTGGTTCATTGCCTTTGTTGCTGACTTGTGTGTTTTCATCCTTCAATTTTTTTGAATTTTAAGCTGCTTCGTTTTTATCAGGTTTTCTTTTTCGTGTCCCATTTCCACTCTTCAGTTCCTATCAACAGTTTTTTATTTTTATTATAATAATTTGCTTTTGTATTTTTCTATCTTTTTTCGATAAATCATCTACAATATATATCTTTTCCCCTGTTTTCGTACTTAATTTGTTTTTGATCCGCATTACCTTTACCTTGTCGTCATATTTTGCCAATTTGATTAAACATGTTTCTTCCCCTAGCTTCGCAACACTCTTAATTTCTACATTTACATTTAATGACTTATCTATAAAGCTTTCTGCGCCTTTTTTTAACTCTTCTCGGTCATTAATATCTATATTTAGTCCTTGTAATACCACTTTGTTTTTTCTTTTCTCATTTTCCAATCGTTTTAGCCTGTTTTCTAATCCATTTATAGTTTTCTTGATTTTTCTATTTTCTTCTTCTAGTTTGTTATTTTCCGCTCTAAGCTCTTTCATTTCTTCTCTGTATTCTCTTTGTTCGTTTCTCGTTTTTTTAATTCCAGTGGACATTTCGTTTAATGTGTTACCCATGCTTTGTATCATTTTCATTAATTCTTCTATGTTATCTTCTAGTTTACGTTGATTCCTTAATGGCGATTTCCCCGTTTTTTTACTTTTTTTGATATCTCTTCCGTATCAGATTCGTCTTCCTCTTCTGTCGCTCTTCCTCTTCCTGTTATTTTCTTCGTCCCCCATTTCTCTTAATTATTCCAAGTCCAATTCTATTCTTTATCTTATCGTAGCCAGTGAAAAGCTTCGGCTGAAATGTTATATAATACTCCTATATTATATTCGCAGAATAAATTATTGGTTTTCTACTTATTACATCAATGACCAAAACCTTATCACAACTGCCACCGTTAAAGACCTGGGTCTTTGATTCACAGTTAACCTTTTCAGATTTACAAATATTTTAAACTCCAGCTCTAATAAAATCGTTTTACTTTAGTTACCAAACTCATGGAAATGTGGCAGTAATAATTAAATTTTTAACAGGTTTAATGGACGTCGCTTGACCTACAAGACTGTTTCCTTGGTTGTGGTTGTTTGGTTAATAATGCATATTGTTTGGGAACTTTTTGCATACAATGATTGAGTATTACGTAAATATTTTGCTTCCCATTTTAATGTCACCTGAACTAACTTATTTGTTTGAAGTGTGCGATATTAGTATTATTATTTTTATTATTATTAATGTTTTTATAAAAGTTTCTTTAAGATTAAGAGGTTTCACTCTCACTTTCATTGGAAAACTGCCACTGATTATCTTATACTTACTTATCAGTACAAACGGAAACGAAAATTCAGAAATTCAGTATTAAAATTTTGAATCGAATTCAATGTAAATTCAACATGACTATTGCGGTAATAACAACGCAATATTCATTATCATTGTGTGATATGGTAAGTGGGTATACTTATACTGATATGCGAAACTTGTGGCATTTGTGACGGTAGTGTATAATTAACAGAGAGCGGACAAAATATGGCGTATTTTCGTGTATTTTTAATCACACTCAATTTATTTAAGTGCGTTTTTATGAAAATGCCGAACAAGAAAAAAAAAACATTATTGTTGCCTATTATGTCACCAAATTACGTCCCTCGTCTCTTGGTACAAACAACCAGTGTTGTGGTGGGTTGCCTATATCGTCACGGCTTGACAACGTAAATTGTACATAGTTTTCATTTTGCGAAAAAAATCATTCCTGTTTAATTCCTTTTTATTTTTAAAAATAAAAACTGTGTCAAGTTACAACCTACTTTTCGGCCGAATTTATTCTGTCTACAAATTCTTGAGCAACTATCGGGTATAACAGACACACAGTTCAGACCTCTGTGTCCAAAAAACCTGTCGCATATCATACGCTCTACCCTGTCTTTGCAAAACAGCCACGAAATTGAGATCTGTTCGAGCAAATGACATGGGGGAAAAACGTCAGCACCGTGTCCAGCGTGCAATAAAATTCAAATGTTACAACTAATCATCAACTAATCTTTAATGTCAATAGACATGAAAGTGTCATTAAAAATTAAGGACGGTGTGATAGGCCAGCGTAATTTATGGAACGTATAGGCAATGGGTTTCACATGACCGGTTAATCAATTCAATTGACTAATTCTGAACCGTTAACTCCGTAGTATTAGCCAAAAGAAACTTCTAAAAATTCCACATATTTTGAACATCATCCTGTATTCTAATTTTTGACTCTGTTGACCCGTTACCACCAAAACAGAATTGATTATCATAATAACGACATTGTTGGCAATTAATGAGTATTCTAGTGAGTTATTTGCTAAAACCAGAATCGTTCGTGAAATGGCAGTTTTTGGTAAGTATCATTTCAACAGATTTTTCAATTTACTAACCCTGATTCAGAATTATTTGACGAGGACCAAAATTTGCTATGTTCGCCGTGTCAGGCCGTGGTTATTGTGGCTACCTATGTAGCCTTAGTCACCAAAGTTGGACCGTATTTTATGAAAAATAGACCAGCGTTTCAACTAAAAGAAATTCTTCTCGTCTACAACTTCGTCCAAATAGTCTTAAATGCTCTCCTGTGTCTGCAGGTAATATTAAAAGTGAACGTTAATCTGCGCAATATTTAAAACACACATTTTAGTTACTAAAAATGCGACCGAAGGGTGGATATCTGTGTTTTCGACCACTTCATAAAGAGGATGATGATCTTGTTGACACTCTGGCAATGCACTATTACTACTACATTCTTAAAATATTCGATTTTATGGATACGGTGGGTTCTGGTCACAGCCGATTAATTTTCGTAAATCTGTACCCATTTTAGGTCTTCATGGTGCTTCGGAAAAAAAATAATCAGATTAGTTTTTTGCATACTTACCATCATATTACCACGTTTGCGATGGCGTGGTACGGTGGTGCGTACTACCCTGGTGGGCTCGCGTTTTATGTCGGTGTAGGTAACACATTTGTGCACTCTGTCATGTACCTTTATTATCTTGTGTCCTCACTACAATACAAGAGTGTACTTTGGTGGAAGAAATATATTACAATACTGCAGCTAGTAAGTATGATTGTAGACAGTTTCTCAAGTATTTAAATTACGTGTATTTTTAGGTACAGCATTGGATTCTGTTGTTCTTTGCCTTAGTTTCACTACTGAACCCACACTGTGATTATTCGAAGATTCTTTCCGGTCTTGGTCTTTGTAATATGGTGGTTTTGATTTACTTTTTTACTAAGTTTTACATAGATAATTATTTGTCTCACAAACACGATTAGCAATAATAAACTATGTAAGGTTACGTCTGTCGTAGTTAAATTACGTTTTTGAATATTTAATATTTTTCTTTTATTTTAATCAGAGGAAAGAAAGGAGTACTATCCGCTCTAAAAAAGCTTTAACAATGCTGATTCTCGATGTTGTACAAGAAATTAAACGAAATAAATGCACACATTGATCTATTTATTGGTGCTGGGTGCAGCACATGAATCCTTTAACGAAGCTCCTCGTCGTAGTACGCGACTACACCCAGGCCATAGCGAAGAAACCCGAGGTGAAGCCCTTCGAGCAGCTTGTCTTCCTCATACCTCCATCGGTAGCATTGTAGACACAACTTGGGGGCTAGGGATTATCATTATTATTATTACTCTAACTTAGAGCTGATTCATCATGTTCGTCATGATTCCTTTCACTTCTGGCTGTCGAACGTGTCGGACGTGTTTTCGGTGCTCTGCGGTGTTAGAAGTGGTGTAGTGTGCGTGTCGGGACTTTTTCGAGAATTCTTCGGGAAATCAGTGGATAAAAATAAACCGGTGTTTGTAAGGGTAAGGATTAAGTATCCTCACTCTTATTGAATCTAACGCGCAATTAGGTCGGTAAGTTAGATCTCTGAATGGGATGATTAATTATTGCATGTGGCAATGAGTGACGAAGCAAGTCAGATTTCATATAATGATGTAAAATATTGTTGTTTACAGAGAAACAATTCAAGTTTTATTCCCTTTTAAAGCTAAGAAGGAAAAACGGAAATAACCTCACATTACAAAACAACATTCTCGTTGGAACTCACAATGGAAAAGCTGCTTTTCGCTTTCAAAGTACTTAGTACCCCAGATAATAAAACTAATGTGCTCTGCATAACCTCAATTGGCACACCGGACGGCCAGACATTCATCGTACCAGATAACTATTTGGATGCACGCACTCATGAGGCGCTTTCAAAGACTGCAGCATTTGCTAAGATAAAAAAAGTCATTGACTCAAAGAGGCCAACTAAGGAATATTTGGTTTCCTCTCACCAATGATTTAAGAGCAGCATATTTGGATGAAGGTAACAATTTACAAGTTAATGATGAATACTTAGAAGAAAAAATTGAAAAACAAAATAATACTAATGGTAAGGAAAATACTTCAGAACAACCACTGATTTAGTTACTATAAACAACTACTTAAAAAAACTAATGAACAGTCAACAGGAATAAATAAAGGCAAAATAGCAAAAGAATTTACCACTGAAAAATTTAATGGCAAAAATTCAAACGCGAATCAATAGATAAGTAATTTTGAAAAAGAATGTGAAAGATTCAATATAATAGAAAATGAGAAAAAATCGAGATTTTAAAATCATTCATCGACAAAGGTGCTACCGATTGGTATAGCAATACACGCTTGAAACTTACTATTAATGCACAATGGGAAGATTGAAAAAAAAACTTATATGATACATTTTCTAGTAAAGGTTGGCCTTCAATAAGATATGCAATGTCATTTAAATATCAAACCGTCTCCATGCTGATTATGCGCTAAAAAAAGAAAAACTTTTATTAGAAGTAAGAAAGTCCATTAATGATGGAACACTGATAGATTTAATCGCTGTAACAAAAACAAAGGTATTAGATTTTATCCTGAAACCGAATGCTGGTTCAAAGATAGAAAAAACAAAACACGTAAACAATTCTATATTAGAAGTAGAAGTGAGTAATAATGATCCAAAAAACTAATAGTTCCACCATTAATTAGTCTCAAGGTAAAACTAAACGACATCTTAGAAGTATCTGCTATTTATGACGCAGGCTCAAATGTCTCATTGATAAATTCAAAACTAATACGTTTGAAACCAAAAAAGGACAACACGATGCAAAATATTAACTTGAAGACAATTAATGGTGTAAATAAATCAGATGGAATTATAACATTAAAAGTAAAAATATTAAATATAGAAGAAAAGATAGATGTATTCATAATAAATAATGAAAATTTTAAACATGACTTTCTAGTTGGATTAGATTGTATAAAAAACTCAAACTGAGACTAAATGAAAAAGTGGAAATAAAACAGAAAACTAATGATTTTGAAAAAAAAACAAGAAAGATATCAAATAAACTTCAATGAACATGTAGATCAAGAAAACTTTGAAATCTTGACAAATCACTTGAACCATCATCAAGAAAAAATGATAAAAATCTTATAGAGAAATATAAAAATATATTTGCAAAAGACAAATACGATATAGGGATTGTAAAGGATTACGAAGCCAGAATAGATCTCATAGTAGATAAATACAGGCTGACTGCGAAATACATGCAAAAAAAAAATTGGGGAATAGGTCACAATATAATTATGTCACTGGCAAAAATTCATGGTCCTAAGTGGTAGCAGTGAAGAAGATAAATTAAAAATTGTCAGTCTAATAAAAATAGAGGGTATCATACAAGACCAAGAGGGTAACGAAAATTTAACAAATAATAAAAATAATCTAATATTTGAAGATAATCTATATTATAGAAAAGAAAGGAAGAAGAATAAAATTGTATTATCAGAAGAGTTGTAAAAAACTTATAAAAAATATCCATAAGGAATTTTGCCACATAGGCATAAAACAAATGCAAAGCAAAATACTACCTTACTATACGGCAGAAGATATATCAAAAAATTGGTCTGAAGAGTTTAGACAGTACTTCCCTCGCTGTCGGAAACGTGACGACTACATGTCTATTATGTTTGTTTTTCGCAGTAGATTTCATTTTTTTTAGTCACCCGGTATATACAAATTCAAAAAATATGAATGGAATGATAAATTACAAGTACAGACTCATCATATTTTGTATATTCTAGATAGGATTTATTCGGCAAACTTTTGAGCTGACGTCATCAGTTTTTTGTAGAAGATAACCAAATATATTTTGACTAAAAATTTATTATGCTCTTTATAACCTTAAAACATTTGCAAGATTTCAAAACATTCGGTTCTGGAGTTCCTGATTAAATCAATAAAATACATTTACTCATTCATTAATTTTTTGGGGTCACCCTGTAAATGCAAATCTAAAAACTATGAATGGAATGATAAATCACAAGAAAAGACTCATCATATTTTGTACATTTTAGATAGGATTTATTTAGCAAAATTTTGTGGTGACGTCATACATTTTTTATGGGGGATGAGCAAATACATTTTGATCAAAAACTTACCATGCTTATGACAACTTTAAAGAATCATCAAGATTTCAAAGTATTCGGTTTTGTAGTTCCTGAGTAAATCAATAAAATAAATTTACGCATTCATTAATTTTTTTGAGTCACCCTGTATATGCATATCCAAAAAATATGAATGGAGTGATAAATTACAAGAACAGACTTATCATATTTTGTACAGTTTAGATAGGATTTTTTCGGCAAATTTTCGAGCTGACGTCATCAATTTTTTGGAGGGGATAAGCAAAAATATTTTGAGTAAAGATTTATGGTGCTCTTTATAGCCTTAAAACATCTGCAACATTTCAAAACATTCGGTGTTGTAGTTCCTGATTAACTCAATAAAATAAATTCACGCACTTATTAATTTTTTTGAGTCACCCTGTATATGGAGATCGAAAACATTTGAATGGAATTATAAATCACAAGAAGAGACTCACCATATTTTGTACATTTTAGATAGAATTTATTCAACAAAATTTTGTGGTGACGTCATCAATTTTTTTAGGGGGTACGACCAAATACATTTTGATCAAAAATTTACCATGCTTATGATAATTTTAAAACATCTTTAAGATTTCAAAGCATTGGGTTTTGTAGTTCCTGAGTAAATCAGTAAAATACATTTACGCATTCATTAATTTTTTTGAGTCACCCTGTATATGCAAATCCAAAAAATATGAATGGAGTGATATTTCACAAGCACAGACTCATCATATTTTGTACATTTTAGATAGGAGTTATTCGGCAAACGTTTGAGCTGACGTCATCAAGTTTTTGGAGGGCATAACCACATATATTTTGAGTAAAGATTTATGATGCTCTTTATAGCCTTAAAATATCTGCAAAATTTCAAAACATTCGGATTAGCAGATTCAAAATTAAATTGCAAAATGTTGTTTTATAATTTTGATTTTTTTTCCAAAAATCTGGACGTTTCGGGTAAAAACTCAATTCGGAGTCGTAAACTACATGTTTAGGACTATGTCATTTTATACAATTTACAACCCATTTACTATGTACAATTTTGAAGTGACGTCATCGCATTAGTGGTGGGGATGATTAGACAAATTTTGGTTAGCGTTTTACCATCTACATGATATTCCTAATATAAGTACAAAATTTGACAACAATCGGTCCAGTACTTTCGGAGATTATCTGTCTAATAAAAATCCGGGACGGCAGACAGACGGACAGACGGACAGACAGACGGAAATGGGAGACCTATTTCTGCGTCTTCTAGGGGTCATGAAAGATCGAGAAAATGTAAAAGTAGAGAGTTGACCGACGGACTCGATTACAATGCTTCCTTTGCTTACGCTCGGGAAGTAGAAATTAAAAAAAAAAGGACGAAAAAGGACGAAAATTACGAAAAAGGATAATAAGGACGGAAAAGGACGAAAAGGACGAAAAAGGACGGAAAAGCAGGTAAAGGTCGAAAAAGGACGAAAAGGACGAAAAAGGATATCAAGGACGAAGAAGGACGAAAAAGACTAAAGAGGACGAAAAACGACGAAAAAGGTCGAAAACGGACGAAAAGCACGAAAAAGGACAACAAGGACGAAAAATTGGTCTAAAGAGTTTAGACAGTACTTCCCTCGCTATCGGAAACTTGACGACTGCATGCCTATTGTGTTTTTTTTCTCATTACATTTTGGTAGTGCGAATTTAAAAAAAAATTGCGATGACGTCATCAACATTTTTGCAAGGACACGTTTTGAATATTGATTTGTAATAATCAATAAAATAACGAAACAATTTACTCACGTATACGTATCAGAGGCAACTGAAAATCGTGTATGTATAAACATTCTTAATTTAAGATGACAGGCGTAACAGCATACG